AGAGAGAGAGAGAGAGAGAGAGAGAGAGAGAGAGAGAGAGAGAGAGACAGAGGTAAACCTTCAAAAATCATTTCAAGTTCTTGGTAATAGTAGACGACTATAACTACATTGTTTGAGAGAGAAAGGCAGTAGGATTATGAGTTCAAGGCCAACCTAAGCTATAATACATGGGGAGAGGAGGCCAAACAAGTTACTTAGGTGTTTCAACTGCTGTTGTTATGCTATGCCACTATGACCAAAAAGTATTACAGTACTTTCTAACTAAAAAGACTCGTTGGAAGGACTGGTAGGAAATAGATCAGAGTGAGTCAGGCACCCATCCCTACTCCACACAGTAAGACTAGAGTAAACTCTGTAAGGGACATGAGACTGCCCTTCGTCATCTAGAAATTAGTGAAGATACATTGCCCCCACAGAGCCATTGTGTGACCGGTGTTTAGAGCACAGCATCCCTTCTTCAAATTGTCTTACTTTAGTGTTGGTACCTCTTCTTCATCGGGTCATCTGTGGCCTTTGATCTTTTCTGTAGCATGCTCTTGTCTGTGTCTCTGTGTTAGAGTCTGTGGCCTCTTGAGCAGACTGGTGTCTTTAGTATTTTAAACTGAATTTTCTTTGAGCATTTATCTTATACACACACACACATACACACACACCCCACATACACACACACACTTTACTCAACTCCAAATAATTTGAGTTGGCTTGTAATGAGTTTCACATTTGTAGTAGTTTTTCTAAACTATTTCCAGTTTGGTTTTGTTAGGTTAGGGGTTGATGTTTTGCAGGAGATTGGAGGGTGTTCTTATTTTAAAGGGGAGTATGATAGTCAACTTTGGTTTATGAATACTTTTTGTGATACCAAATGCAACTTGATGGCAAGAAATATTTGTAAAGAGTATGCTCATAGGTGTCATAATTCAAACATCTGTTGAGAACCTGTCATAGATATTTTAGCTCTTCCTAAGAAATGACACTTGCTTTGATCTGGAAGGATTGGCTAATACATACACACACACACACACACACACACACACACACACACAAAGTTCCCTCTGGGTGGCCATATCCTTAAAGGAATATTGGCAAAGACAAAACTGCACTGAACAAACAATTATTCTGCCTCCACTGGATAAGGATATCTTCTTACGAGGCCTGTAAATGCTTGCATAGTTATGTTCACTCAACAGCTGGTCACCGGGTCCCTCTGTTGACTGATGGGTTCACTGGCCTGACCACAAGCTTTTAAATATTCATGAGGCAAAATTCCTACACAAGCCAGTGAGCACATCATCTTTCGGTGCTGACACAATGCCAAACAATCACATTGGCCTCTCCTATGGACAGATTTTATACCACTTGAACCATGTGTCAAGTTACCCTCTCCAGTGTCTATGCCCTCTGACAGCTATCATTGTAGACTACCATGTACACTCTACTGGAGCAGAAGTTAGATTTGTTTTGTTTTGTTTGAGACATGGTCTCACTGTGTAGCTCTGACTGGCTTGAAATTCATTAAATAGACCTGATGAGCCTCAAACTCAAAGAGATCTACCTGTTTCTACTTCCCCAAGTACCAAGATTAAAGGGGTACACCAGACCCAACCCTAGTAATCAATGTCTAGAGGGACATTTCTGAAAGCAGTATACCACAGTGCACCTGTAATCTATCATTACTTTTGATTGTCATCGTTGATAAGTAAAGAATCAATTAAGAGATCTTGGACTGGCTATGGTGGTACACACCTTTAATCTAAAGAAAAGAGTCAGGGGGATGAGGGAAAAGGGAGAGAGACCTTGCAAAAATATTTCTATCTGCATTTATTTCTGGTTATTTTTGGTGGTCATGGTAACAATTCAATAATAGTTGAAAAATAATTACCTTATGACATCAAAAAATTTATACACTGGGAGAGACGGGGTGGAGATAACCTGGATATGAAGAACATTATTTTCAACAGAAGGCTTCTTCAATCTTGTGTTGTTTCATTACATTGTATTTAGTGACTATGAGGATCCGGTGGGGATAGGTAAGTGAGTAAGTGTGTATTTGGGGGATTTAGGTGTGTGGGTTGAGGTGTATGTGTGTAGATGTAGGTATGTGTGTGTGTGTGTTGGTGTAGGTGTGTGTCTATAGGGATGTGTGTGTGTGTGTGTGTGTCTATAGGGATGTGTGTATATATAGGTAAGAATACCAAGGAACACCTGTGAAGGCCAAAAGAAACTTTTGAGAATCTATTCTCTCCCAATGCCATGTGAAACAAAAATTGACCTCAGACTGTCAGGCTTGGCAGGAAGTGCCTTTACCCTCTAAGCCACCACAGCCTCCCAACACGTCTCTGTGTTCTTCTCTACGAACTTCTTAGTGTTGTATATGAGATGGACTGGGTTTGGTTAAATATAAATGACACATCTTTGGTAGCAGAAGAAAGCATCACTAGGAAATGTACAACTAAGGTAGCATGAGCTTCTCCACAGTCATAGCACCTAGAGGCAGGCTTGTGTTTCTGTCACCCAGGGTGACACCCTGGTGTAATGGCTGCTGGGTCTGCTGAGTGAATGCTTCCAAGTATAGCTCTGCAGAGGCCACAGGCTCAATGGTTTCCAGTGAAGTTGTTGGAAAAAGACTGACTGCCAGACAACCTAGATCCCAAATTAGCAGTCCCCAAATTTACTTCAGAAAAATGTGGAAAATTCATATTAAGAAAAGACTAAAATGGTCCCTACTGGCTAATTTGTAGATGGTTTTACTAATACAGACGTTGTTAAGACTTGTATTCTCCTGCAATATTTCTGCTTCTCACTGGACCTGATCTGCCTTCTGCCTTTATGAACAGAATTATGAAACCAAGGCTATAAATGGTACCAAGGTTGTCTTATCAGTTCACTCACCCAGAAGCCATTAACTTAAGAGAAATGAGATAAGGCATAACGCTGCCTTGATGGATTTCTGAAGCTAAGTTTCAAGTTTGTTTTAGATGCAATCAAGACAATACTCTCAACATGCCTGTTTTAGGGAGTCAGGGTGATCAGTAAAGGTCTACAAATGCAGGATTATCAGCACACTTAGTTGCAGGCTGATAGATGTGCAGACACAACACATTTTTTAAAGCTGGTGACATATCATTCCTCCATGTATATTCCAGAATGCAATTGTAGCATGCAGCCAGTAAACAGAAATGCCTTCCAACAGAATCCAGGAAAAACAAGTCATTCCTGCTGTGTTCAGTGAACCCTCTCTGAAACTAAAGTCCCAGCAAATACCATTCGAGCCATGGGGACACCATACGCATGCACCATCTCTCAGGAATCCCTTTTCAATATGTGTAATGCAGATAATTTCTTTCTTTGTTCAAAATCTTGAGTGTAGTCTGGGAGCTGGGTAAGTTATGTCCTGAGGGATTAGGTTAAATGGTGGCACTGGTAACCTGGGTTCTTTTAAATGGAAGTTTTTAAAGGGTCAATAACTCTACAGCTAGGAAAAAGAGCTTGAAGCTACAGAGGTGACAAAAGCTACTGGGCCTGGTGCCAAAGGCCAATACCCCACAGCTACTGGGGTAGCCAAGGAAAGAAGATCATTAATTCCGGTCTACTAGGGTTACAGACTGAGTTCAAGGATGTAAAAAGAGGCTAAGAATGTAGCTCGCTTAAATTTTTTTTAAAAAAAAACATTCTTTTTAAAAAACATTTTAAGAATATAGTTCATTGATGAGCTCTTGCCTAGTGTGGATGAGGCCCTAGGTAAACACATGCACACACAGAATTAGATTTATTCAGTTTGTCATACAATGCATACAGTATGTGTTAAAGCTGGTGAGACGACTGAGTAAGTGAGGGTGCTTACCAACAAGTCTGACAACCTTGGACTCCATGTATGTGAAGAAGGAGAATACCAAATCCCAAAGTCGTGTTGTCCTCTGACCTACACACCAAACATGCTTCTTAAAATACAGTTTCTCTTTAGAGTGAAACATTGGTACATACTTCCAACATGCAGGAGCAGGAAAGAACGTTAGCTTAAGGTCAGCTTGCGCTACAAAATAAGAGTCTGTCTTGAGAAGAAAAGTAAAAGGGTGAACAATTATCATATACCCAAGGAACTCTGTATGCTCAGTAGTTATATTCACACAAAAACATATACAGCTCTTTCTACCATTATTTATAACTACTGAATGACAAATAAAAGCCCAAAAAAAAAAAACCCAACAGGGCTGGGGTGAATATAATCAAAATATTTTATGCACATGTAAGAAAATGTCATAATGAAACCCATTTGTATGTAAAATTTACATATGCTTATAGAAAATACTTTTCTAATTTTTCCCTTTTACTGAAAATATATTCTTTTCTCATAAAACATATCCTGTTTATAGATTCCCTTCCCTCTACTCCTCCCAGTTCCTCCCACCTCCCCACCTTGGAGATCTACTCCCTGTCTGTCTCTCATTAGGAAAGAACAAGCTTCTAACAACCAAGCATGACAAAATAAAATATAAAAATATAATAAGATAAAACAAAAAAAATCACATCAAACTTGGAACGGACAAACCGACAGAAGGAAAAGAGCCCAACAGAAGGCACAAGGCTCAGAGACTCAGTCCTTCTCACACCCAGGAGTCCCGTAAATACACTCAGCTGGAAGCCATAATGTATACGAGGAGGACCTGGTGCTGAGCCATGCAGGTTCTGTGCTTGCTGCCTCTACCTTGCTGAGATATAAAACACTTCTAAAAACTAGAAACGAGCCAAATCCTTTTAACCAGGCACAGAGGTAATCACAGGTAAGGAGGCTAAGGTGCGGTCACTCTTGATTGTTGTCACATTAAGACAGTTGCACTGCACAGCTCAGACTCTCCTGGAGCTCACAATGATTCTCCCATGCCAGCCTTCCAAGTGCTAGGATTGCAGGCACTTGGCACGATGCAGGACTCCAGCCTCCCCTCAGCCCTGGCAATCTACATTGACAATCTCCTGAAAAGCCAGGAGGTAGTGCTTCAGTCCACATCTGTTATTTCAACATTTGGATTGCGAGTTGGAGGCTAGCCTTGACTAATTAAGGAGACTCACACCCCTGCCCTCAAACCCCACAGGCAGACCCTGTCCTCA